ATTAGAACTCAGGCCGTGTTGTGTTCTTAAAATGGTTTTGAAATGCTTTTTTTTGTTTAACCTGTTAATACTAAAAAAGATTAAAGCAGAAGTTATGTCCCCTACTGTCTTTTTTGTCTTTATGATTAGCCTTCATTCATCTTTTCATATCATTTTTATATCCTCTTGTGTGAAATTATTTCCTTCTGAGGGAATAAGAATGACTCATGATGATGAACAAAAATAGATACAGAGGCAGAGCAGCATCAAACAGACTCTCAAACTACAGCGGGAAGGCTGGGGAGGGTTGGGGGGCGGAAGGGGGTGATAAGAGATCAACCGAAGGACTTGTATGCATGCATATAAGCATAACCAATGGACACAAGACACTGGGGAGTAGGGGAGGCCGGGGGAATGTCAAGGGGGGTGAAAAAAGGAGACATATAATACTCTTTGGTAATACTTTAAGCAATAAAACAAAATTTAAAATTTTTTAAAAAAAAATAAATTAAAACAGAAGAATGACTCATGAAATCATCTGCCCTATTAGACATTACAAGAGTGAGAATGTGTGTGTTATTTGTGTGTTTAAATATTTTTAATAAAAAGCTAATTTGATTTTGCTTTATATATGAGCACATAATTATATATGCCTCTTTTTCATTTGTTTTTTATTAGATGTCTTCTCCCAATAGTGAGATGAACTATCAAAGTTCTTTATCACTTTGTAAGCCAAAAGGGAAGTCTGTTCCCACGCCTGTATCAGCCCAAATGACTTCAAAGTCTTGTAAAGGGGAGAAAGAGGTTGATGACCAAAAAAACTGCAAAAGGAGACGAGCCTTGGACTTCTTGAGTAGACTGCCTTTACCTCCACCTGTTAGTCCCATTTGTACATTTGTTTCTCCAGCCGCACAGAAGGCATTTCAGCCACCACGAAGTTGTGGCACCAAATATGAAACACCTATAAAGAAAAAAGAATTGAGTTCTCCTCAGATAACTCCACTTAAAAAACTTAATGACATTTCTGTTTTGGAAAGCGATTCAATAGCTGACGAAGAACTTGCATTGATAAATACCCAGACCCTTTTGTCTTGTGCAGCAGGAAAAAAACAACTTGTATCAATGGGTGAGTCCACTGGGACTGCTCCCACCTGTTCAAGATATGATCTCGAAAGGAAAAGGCACCATTTTACCCCTATGGCCACAGAACAGAATTCCCACGTCAGTACTGGAGAAACAGGAGACTCTATTCAAGACACAAGTACAATACAAGATACATCTAAGGGACTGCAAAGGCAACAGAACCGAAAACGACAAAAATTAGTTACTGACTCTTAACTTTTCCAGTTTGTAACACACATGCAGTTTCAAAGCACATACCCATATCTGCAAAATGAGAAGAGAAATGGTTCCAAATCTACCTCAGTACTCATATATCCCAGGAATGCTCTTTGCCTGCTTCTATATTGGTATACTTTTATTTCAGTTATAGACCTTAAAATTGTTTATATATTTATTAATCAAGGAAAAAACCCTTCTGATGGCATTTGCTCACAAGTATTTTACAGATGAACTATGCATACCCCTTTTCTTTAGATTATGTCCTTAAATGAAACTAGGTTTCTTATTAGAGTTATTTTGACTCACATAATTCCTTTTACTTTAGTTCCTACTTTGGTTTCTTTCGTGTATGTGTGTTTTTAGAGGTAACCCACTATGAATCACTTTTCCTTAATGTACGTGTTAGTTGTACTACAGTTCTTTCCTGATCAAAAATCGGACTAAGATATGACTGGTGCTTGCTTTTGACCAAATTGTTTATTCTTATGTCAGCATAACTACAAGAAAAATAGGACCCTCAGTATAATTAATTCCTTTATATGATCCCAATGTAATCTCTGAAATTAAATTACTTCAATTAAAAATTCAAATACATTAATTCAGAAGTAGAGTTCATAGTGTTAATTTTGTCTTTCAAATCAACCCTGCTCTACCTGCCTTCACAGGAAAGTGCTAATGCTCCCTTTACCCCTTGTGTTCTCTCAGCACCCCCTCTGGGCAGAAGGTAACAGTTCAATTCAAGATGATATTCTCATTTTTTACTTATGTTTAATAGAAAAGAGAAAAAGCAGTTCTAACTACAAACTTATAGTATGGAGAAGCTCTCTAATAGGGTCTCTCAGTGTCTTAAAATGTATATCTAACATATATAAGTATGTATATATGTGTATATACACATATATACACATACACACGTATATACTAGTATATATATTTTTAAATTACAGTGTACATTCAGTATTATTCTTTATTAGTTCCAGGTGTACAGCATAGTGGGTAATGTTTTCAAATCTATTTATAAACATATTTCAAAGCCAAGGATAAATTCTTTTATGAAGCAGTTTGTTTCTATAACTATGATCCATAATTTTCTCTCCTCTAAAAAGTAACATGACAAGTAGTCCATTCCATTAGTCTTTTTAACTTGTGCTCTGACCATCTTATTAATGTGATTTAAGTTTTGTTCGTAAAATAATTTGGTCTTCACATGCTAATCATTTTCCTGGTGATCATTCTAGAACAGGGAATAAAACTTGAGTCTCAGGAACAGACAGAATTATAGTAATTTAACCATTTTTTTAGCCTGGAAAAATTTAACTGCTATTACCTCCTCCATTTTTCATTACCACGTAGACTACTTGTCAGAGAGAGATTTAATGCACGTCCTCCCTTTCATAAATTGTAAATAATGTGGCTATGCTATACGAGAAAAATATGAAGCTTGAGAATATGTGGATATTATCCCCCCAAAAGTGACAATTTGATGATGACAAAGTCAACAGTGTACTCTGCATAAGAGATAAATAGTAAAAGCAATTTGTGTTACCTATTCAGCACTCAGTGAGAGCCTCTTGTGCATATAAAGTCCTACACCTATTCAATGAATGATGCAAACATTAACACACGAAATAATACATGTCAGTGTTGAGGGTTCGAAAAAGTATATAAATCAGAGAAAAATAGATCACTTCTAGCTGGGATATGTAAAGTTGATGGCATTTAATTATTTTTATGTTTCCATACCAAGTGTTTTAGGCATCATATGGGGGATTGTGGGGGGGTAGGGGGGAGGTAAAAGAGGCAGATAGACCAGGAAACTATTCTTCTGAACTCTGTAAAAGCTCTGGATCTATAACCTGGAGCCACTTCTCCATAGCAGTCACTGTAGGTCTAGTAGCCTAAAAGTCCTAATAAGAGAGCCAGACAAATTAGGAGGGCTTGAATTCTGACCCTTTTGGATTCTTTGGAATCGAAGGTAATTCCAGTTTAGGTTCTCTGACACTCCTTCCTTTTACTAACCTAAATGAGTCAAGCCCTCCTGATTGAGTGAATTCAGCAATAATCAGATCGACTAGACCAGCGGTTCTCAACCCTTTGGGGGTCGAACAACCCTTTCACAGGGTTTGCTGAAGACCATTGGAAAACACATATATAATTACATATTTTTGTGATTAATCACTATGCTTTAATTATGTTCAATTTGTAACAATGAAAATACATCCTGCATATCAGATATTTACATTACGATTCATAACAGTAGCAAAATTACAGATATGAAGTAGCAATGAAAATAATTTTATGGTTGGGGGTCACCACAACATGAGGAACTGTATTAAAGGTCGTGGCATTAGGAAGGTTGAGAACCCCTGGACTAGACACTCAGGATTACCTGGGCCCTGGACTGCAGTATTATGTGAATTATCATGATTATTAGAGGATTATTGTGGAACATGCTTGCTTGGACTCATCGAACTTACTAAAACTATAATACCTTAGATCTATTCAAATTCACTAAATTTTAGTTTCATCAGCCAAACTTGGGAGATACTAATTTTTAAAATGTTAATGAATAATTACAGATGTATTGATGAGGGTAGTCATCAAGATGTTGAGATTTCAATAGAGTCAGATAATGGAAAGTAAAATAGTCTTTCTAAAGTGCATAGATAAAATAATTTATGTAAGCAAGTAAATAAGGTTAATTTTTTCTTTTATATCCATTTATTAAAGAAGATTGGTAAATAAGTTTATGATATAGAAATATTGATTTTTAGAGTGAAAAGGACGGGCGGGGGGGGCGGAGACGGAGAGAGACAATGATGTGAGAGACATGTTGATTGGTTGCCTCCTGCACATGCTCCAACTGGGGTTGGGGATTAAATCTGCAACTGGGGTACATGCTCTTGATCAGGAATTGAACTCAAGACTCTTCGGTCCTTGGGCTGACACTCTAACTACTGAACTGGCCAGAGTGAAAAATTGTATCTTAATATGGTAGAATTCTGTGGGATTTCGGTAATTAAATTTTTTATATTGTTGAACAAAAGAGGCTTAGATTCAATGACAAATCCATATAAAGCAATACCATATACTATAATTTTTAATAACCATAAAAGCACCATTATATAAGACATTTAAAATACTTCACAGAACATTAGCAAGAAGCCGTTAGCCAACAAGAAATAAAGCATACATCCTACATGTTCTTATCTATTTTGGGTCTCACACAAAATCTGATTGCTCTATTCAGATTTAATTTGGATTCACAAATTCATTATTGGTTTGAGGGACATTCCAGAGTTGTGGTAGAACTTCATTGTCTTGATGTCATATAAAACACCAGCATTGCTCATCTTATCCCTCTGTAGCCTGTATCCTGGGACGCTTAATTCCTTGTACCCCCAAACATTGGGGCTGCCTACTAATTACACTTATAAGCAAAATTTTAAAAGTTGCTTAATGATTCATCTTAAAAATTGATGTTTTATAAAGGAGGTTTGTTTTATTTATACTATTAGCACAACAGCCAAAAGTTATTCAGGTTTAATCCTGTTCAATAGAGTGGTAGTTAAAACACAAAACTAAAATTATGACTTCAAATAATGACACTGATTTTCCTCAGTAGCTGGTCTAGCTATTAAGAAGGATTTGACAGACATTTTTAACAATGACACTTATTATATATACTGTAAACACTTTATTTATGAACCTATGTGACTAATTGATTACATTCTTGGGTATGTTTCTCAGGTTTCATCTTCAAATTAATTGTTTTCCTAGAAAGAGTGACTCGGTCTAACCAAACCTGCAGAACTCCCAGCATCAGGCCATGCATAGAGCATCACTAACAAATGCCTGTTGAGGATGAATATGATGACGTCTGCTCAAAAACGTTCAGGTTCGACTATTTACACTGGAATTAGAGCTCTGGTTAAAACTGAACAAAGAATAAATACCAAAAATCGAAGTAAAAACTGATTTAGGAAAACTCTGCCTGTAAGATCAGCCTCTAATATCCATGGTGATAACCGCCTCTTCTGTTAAAGGGGCTCTCATGTGTAAAGCCCCCAGGAGCCCTCCGGTTTGGAAACTCTGCGTAGGTATTCCAGTATCCTGCCCCATTGGAAGGCGATGCACCGCTCCTGTCCTGGCTTCTGTTCGCTCTGCTTGGTTTTTCTGCGCGAAGCACACTATGAAAGGTAACACCGTGCTCATACCGTTCTTTCATTCGGTGTATTTTTTCTCTTGGGACTCCATGAATGTTTTTTCTGCATGGAAAAACATGCAAACATATAGTTAAGGCCATATATCAAAATAAATTACTTGTATTTTGCAAGTCCTGTATTATTACATAGGTATGCACTCTATCCTCAGGGTTTAACTGTGACAAAAGCATAACATCTTGTTATGCAACCCTCTTTCAGGTTCCACTCCTGTTTTTCATGCTGCCCTGCACACCCCTAAAGAGACCTGTAGAGAGCTAATGCATCAGAAATGCTTTGTTTCTGGAAATCTCCATTCTGTGCTTTAAGACACAGTAGAACACCAGGAGATCTTTTCATGGTAGATTTGCCTGTTAAGCATGAATATATCAATTTATGTGGGTCAGTCCTGGACATTTCTAGATGCTTATTAAAACAATCTTAAATCCTAGTGGGCGTGAGAATCAACTGGGGATATAAGTCAAAATGTAATTCCCAGAGATTGCAACTATGGAAAGGGAGCCACGAGCTAGGATTTTTAACATCCAGCTCAGGTGGTTGTGTTTCACAAACACACTTTGGAAACACTGTATCTCCTTTTAACCATAAGATGAACTAGCCTTATTCCAAAAAAGTAAATTGTTTTCACTGGTTACTTAAATCATTGACATTATCAAGTAACACAGATAATATCAGAACCCATGCATTCAATCAACAAGTTAGTATTATTTGGACATTTATTACTTATAAATTAGAAGCAGCATCTGGACCACAAATGAACCACAGACTTTTCAGCATCTAAAGATATTTATTTAGCCTAAATGCAAAAACACCACTGACATGTGCAATCCCATGCAGAAGAAAGTGCTTTTAAATGTTCATTAATGAAGAAGCATTTCAGCCGAATGTTAAATGTATTCTTTTGAAGAACTGAGTCCAAGCCAAGATTTAGCATTATATTAGAAAACTGACCCAAAATTACAGTCTTCACATTAATAATTCCCAAGTTATCAGTTTCTAAGAATTACCATTTCTGGCCTGAAAACTACCATGTCCATTTCCAGCCTGAAAAGTTTCTTTTGTTCGGTCTGAAATACCTGAAAACAGCAGGACACATAATGAGGAGCTAGAAAAACACAGAAGTACCTGGCTAACTCTTGCACGTTGAATTTCCAGCGAGTCTCGGGTTCTCGGAATATAACTTCATAGTTATTTTCAAGTGCCTAATTTTTCAAAAGCACATAAAACATTGAACGCACAGTATGTTTGCATGGGAATGTTCATACTGGCATTAAACATTCACTGCATATCTTTTATAAAATTTCTTTTGTTTTACCAGTAAGCCAGTGCCTTAGTTTATCTTAATAAATATAGTTGGTTCGTGGCCATTCTTAGCCACTCTCAGGTTATATTACAGTTCCCAGTGATAAATTTTGGTCCATTTTATCTACTACATAGGAAAATTATGAAGGTTATTTGTTTTAGACATTTTTAAAAATAGCTGAACTAGCTTAAAACTTCCTGTCCATGAGCAATGACCTCAATGGCTTCTCAGAGTCCCTTATAGGATTATCATAGATTTATGTCTGTCAAATGCCTTGTCCTATTCCTCATGCCTTGGTTAGAAAATGGTAGTGCCATAGAAGCAGAGCTTATGAAATAAAAGTGATTTCCCCCCATCCTTTACATACTCTTTCTTCCAAAAGTAGCTCAGTGTGGCTCAGTATACTGTCCCCATTTCCTTGTTAGAAAACTTATAGTTTATCAAAATCAAAATAAAAAATAAAAAACTTACAGTTTACATCTAAACACCCAAATATCCTTTGAATTCACAAATTCACTACTATATTTTTATCTCAAACTGAACTCTCAATAATAAAAGTTCAATGAAAAGAGCTAAGTAAAAAGATGTCCTCTTCATTCTTGAGATGAACACTTCTAATTAGGAAAGAAGTCAAGCATCATATATGGAAAATATCTAATTTCTGGGTCTTATTAGTAGCTGTGGATGGCTGAAAAAGATTGTACATAACCAGAAAATAAAAAGTAACGTGACTTCCCTTAAGTGACTTTCCGTTCCCCCTAACTCGTGGTTTTGAGTTGTGCCTTAATTAACTTCACTCTTCATATCCCTGTTCATTTCTCTCCCAAGTGGACTCTTGATCCATGAACTGAAGTGACCACAAAGTTAATGGTCATTCCCTCCTGTTTTCACCAAAGTCCCACCCTCGGGGCCTACATGAAGTTGATGAGAATATAGTTAGAGAAAAGCACACCTGTATATAAGCTATTTTGCCCAAAATGTAAAAAGAGGCCTAAAAATAGACTGCTATGAGCCCAGTTTGGGAGCTATTCATGACAAAAACAGACATTCAGCTGTCTCCTTCCTGTCCCCTGATTGTGTCTGGATCTTTTCTCCTTCCTACACTCAATAGGGAATGAAAATTCACTAGCATAAGAGATGACATGTCTGAAAACAGTTCAGACTCTTCAAAATTAAAGAAAAATGTGCACACTATATTCATCTTACTGTTTTTTCCTATTCTAACAATTAAGAGCTGAATGGTTTCAATTGCATGCTAGTGTCTTAACAGGATTACAGTATTAATCTTAAATCTGTTTTTAAACTAAAAACTCTGTTGCCCTGAAACTCCCTTGCAGCAACACTATCTAGTACTGAACTCTCCGGCTAGTGAAAAACAGACTGTCCTCTAATAAAACCTGTAACTCTGTTAGTCCAGTTTCTCTGCAAGTTTCCATGGGTGCTCCATGTGGACCTTCCCTTAGGAAAACAAACGAGACAGAAAAGCTATCAAAAATTCTGATCCAGGACTATTTACAACTTGTACCCCAAGGTGATAATAGCATGTCGAGCCACTGAACAGCAGAGGAACACAAAAATAACTGCTTTACCTGCTCTGTGAGAGACTGTTAATACATATGAGATCGTGGAAGATCAGAAAATGAGAAAAGAACAAAAGTTTCAACTTTCTCACAAAATGTCCATAACTGAAAATTCAGAATGATACTTCTTCCTACCATGACTGCATAGGGCTTCATTTCCCAGGCGTGGAGGTTGGTATTATCAATAATAATGGGGGATATGCCATTCCTCATTGCTTTTCTTGCTGCAACACAATGTTATACAACAGTGAACAACATGCAACAGTCAGAGAGAAAGGGTGAGCATACCCATATCTTGTCATTTTATTACAGCATGTCCTCATCACACAAAGTTAATGCCGCCTATTTCAGGACCCATTATCAATCATTTTCTCTTTCCTGGAATCTAGGAAGGTTTGCATTCTGTTTGGGTGGAGGGGAGAATGGCAATTAAATGTATCATTCTGCAGCAGCTACAATCTACTAGTAAGTGCACAATAGGATTTCTCAGGAGTTTGAAAAAGAATTGGTCACCTCTTTTCTGGTTCCATTCATGAGCCTCCTCTAGGAAGTCTGGATTGAACTCATAGGTACCATCTTCCCTGAAGAAAAAGTCATCCGTGCTGAAAATCAGGGCCCTGGGAAAGTCGTGTTGCAATTGTCTGGAAACGGGGGAAGAAGAGATTGTTTTATGACCTTGCATTGTTGTAACAGAAAATCATCTCCTCTGGTTCTAACATTTAGCAATTTGTAATTATGAGACCACCAGGTTTTGAATTGTTGAAATTCAATTTAAAAACAGAGATGCTTCTTATCTTTAGAAGGCCCTGCTCCTATCAAAGAAGCAGGAGTGGGCTAAGAGGCAACTGTGAGAGTTGTCTAACTCTTGACACTAAGAAGTGCTGTCACTGCCACTGACTTCTGCAGCAACCAGGACTGATAGAGAAAACTGGAAGCGACAGTGTGATGACAGTCTTTCCTTATGGGCCCCAGTTCCTGCTGCTATTCCTCTGGGATGTGCCAGTGCCCTTTTCTTCTCCCTTAAACTCTCACCTGTCCTGGGTCCTATCTCCTGGAACACTGTACTCTCTAAGGACCCATCTCGGAAACTAATTCTTGCTCAAGTGTGAAATGTAGATAAAAGTGATGGGTGTGTACTACCCCTACTAGGTAGCATTTTTACATTTTTAAAAATATATTGTTATTGATTTCAGAGAGGAAGGGAGAGGGGAAGAGAGATAGAAACATCAATGATGAGAGAGAATCACTGATTAGCTGCCTCTTGCGCACCCCACACGGGATCAAGCCTGCAATCCGGGCATGTACCTTATTGAGAATCCAACTGTGACCTCCTGGTTCCTAGGTTGTTGCTCAACTACTGAGCCATGCCAGCTGGGCCATATTTACATTTTAACAGTGACCCAAACCAAATGAAAACACAATAGGAGAAGGAAAGAGATAGGCCCAACATTCCCCACATCTTCCTAAATCTCTGTCACTCACTCTAAATATGAAAATATCAGAAAAAAATAAAAACTACCATGGAGTCCCCCCTTTAAAGCAAGAAAAAAAACACAAAAAAAGCATATTATGCACAAAATAACAAGATGTTTTCACTTAAACATCTTAGGGGAGAAGATGGATATTATGCTAGGTAGTAAGTGGGTAAATCCCTGAGCTTTCTCATCTGTAAAAGTCAAGGGTAATGGCACCTATCTTGCTCGGTGATGACAAGCTTACCTTATAACAGACAAACATGTAAATTAACTGTCTATCCACTAAGCTCACCAGCCAATCAGGAGAGTATGCAAAATACCCAACAAAGATGGTGGTTAATTTGCATACATAGGCACGAAGCGGCAGAGCGAAGACTGAAGGCTCCAGCCGGAGCGAAGGCCTGGGTCCCGGGTGCCGGAGGAAAACCAGTGCCGGCAGCCAGGGGAAAGGAAGGCCTATTGCACGAAGCTCTTCGTGCAACAGGCCTCTAGTCTATATAATAAAAGCCTAAGCGACCTTTATGGCAGAACGACCAGAACAATTGGTCACTATACCATGCATTGACCACCAGGGGGCAGACGCTCAACACAGGAGCTGCCCCCTAGTGGTCAGTGCGCTCCCACAGAGGGAGTGCCGCTCAGCCAGAAGACGGGCTCAGGCTGGCTAGCTCAGCAGCGGTGGCAGGAGCCTCTCCCGCCTCTGCAGCAGCAATGAGGAGAAGCAGCGAGTAGGTGGGCAGTAAGGAGTGAGGGGTTCCCAGACTACGAGAGGGATGTTGACTGCCGGCTTAGGCCCGCTCCTCAGCAGACATTCCCTGAGGGGTCCCAGATTATGAGAGGGCGCAGGGACCAACCCCTCCTGCATGAATTTCGTGCATAAGGCCTGTAGTGATCTAATAACGTGGGAAAGCTCCTAGGGCAGTGGTCGGCAAACTGCAGCCCCTTGAGTGTGGCTCATCCACAAAATACCATGTGCGGGCGCGCACGTACTATACAATTGAAACTTCGTGGCCACACTCAAGGGGCCAAAGAACCGCATGTGGCTCGCGAGCCACAGTTTGCCGACCACTGACCTAGGGCAACCCCTGACCACAGTGAATGTGTTTCTTTCCTTTATCCCTACAACACTCACCAGCCTAATTCTAACTTCAAGACAAATTCAGCCTGACCGGTGTGGCTCAGTGGTTGAGTGTCGACCTATGAACTCTTTTTCTCGTTTGTTCATCTCCATCAAGAAAAATCATCTCTGGTCAGGAAAGAACAGCATGAATGTGAGGCACTGGGACCGCAGAGAGTGAGCACCTACATCACTGGGAAAGACTTGGGTTCAGGTGTTGCCTCTGCCCCTCTGGTCATGTGACCTATCTCTCTAAGTTTCTGTTTTCTTAACTGAAAAATACAGATTAAACAGAGCTTCTAACCCAGCCAACGTGGCTCAGTGGTTGAGCGGCAACCTATGAACCACAAGGTCACAGTTGGATTCCCAGTCAGGGCACATGCCCAGGTTGCAGGCTTGATCCCCAGTGTTGGGTGTGCAGGAGTCAGCCAATCAATGATTCTCTCACATCATTGATGTTTTGATCTCTCTCTCCCTCTCCCTTCCTGAAATCAATAAAAAAAAATATAGTTTTTTAAATCTATTAAGAAAAAAAAAAGAAACAGGAATCTGGCTGTCTCTCTTGATAGCCTTGTGGGAAAAGGTGGACCAGAAGATAATATATTTTATTTTTTTAAATATATTTTATTGATTTTTTACAGAGAGGAAGGGAGAGGGATAGAGAGTTAGAAACATCGATGAGAGAGAAACATCGATCAGCTGCGTCCTGCACACCCCCTTCTGAGTATGCGCCCACAACCAAGGTACATGCCCTTGACCGGAATCAAACCTGGGACCCTTCAGTCTGCAGGCCGATGCTCTGTCCACTGAGCCAAACCAGTCAAGGCAAGATCATATATTTTAATACCCAAAGAATATTAGATAATTATCCAACTCATTAAACATTTATTGAGCACTTGGCATGTGCCAAGTATTATGTAAAGTGTTAAGGTACAAAAGTAAAATAAAGTAACTGCTTTTAAGGAGTTCACAGCCCAGCCAAGGAGCCAGACCCTGCCTACTGGCCTGACGCAGTGCAATGAGCTGGACACCCGAGTCCTACAAGCACTTAGGGTGAGGAGCCAGTTCTGACAGGAAAGCACCGTCAAGGAAACTGTTGTCTCTCAGGGAAGGAACTAAAAGGAGGAAAGAGAGGGCGTGTTATAAGCAAGAGACAGAGAAAAATGAGAACAAAGATACTGTGGTTAAAAGTGCAAATTTTTTTCTTAAATAACATTTTTTAAAAGTGGAAATCGTATTTGAAACACTTTTCAATTCTGAGTACTACACAATCTACAGAGGGAGTTGGCAAGCTGGAGTGTGTCTAGAGAGGAGTGTCCAGGCCAATTTGAGGTCTGAAAACCATGGAAACTGTCAGATGAGCAAAGATCGCAAAGGAGTGTTAGGGGTTGAAGCTGAAAACAGATGACACAAGTAGAACATATGGTCATCCCCAGATCCTGGGAAGTCTGTGTGTGGAAAGGGGATGAACTTGTTCTGCTGGTCAGCGTTTGGGTCGGGCTTAGCTGGGCAGTTCCGCTGATCTTGCCTGGGACCACTCCTGCAGCGCAGACCTCATGCAGTCCGGGGTGCTGGCTGCTTGCTGCCTGTTACCCACATGGTCTCTCATCCTCACCCAGGTTCGCCCAGGCCTCTTCACTCATTCCAAGAAGGCAAAAGTGGAAGCTGCCAGGCATCCACCACATGCTATCCTCCAAAGCAAGTCATTGCCGACCCACACTACAGACAGGACACGGAGAGTAGAAAAGGCAGCAAAAGAGGCAGCAATTTCAAATCTACCACAGATATTGAAAGTGATATCAAAGAGAGGTACAAAGAGGATTTGATGAAAGAAATTCACACTTTTCCATATAATGTTTTTTATTTTACTTTAAAGATATTCAAACTAAAAACCCCAAATCATTTGTCCTAACTTGAACCTCTAATGCAAGCAACTGTTATAAAGACACCACAGAAACAGTCTAAGGACAGCAGTGAATGCATGTTCAGGTGTGTGTATTTTATATTTGTGAACACTTTACAGTTTCTAAGTTATTTTCATCAATATTATCTTGTCTATTAATGAGAGCTACGTTCAAAGGTTAAATAATAGTGTATAACTTATTTTCCTTATCTTTTGTGTGCTAATGAAGCAACTATGGATATGGGTTCCAAGATTTTTGTTTTTCTCTTTGGTCCCAGATTTAAGCCCTTATAAATCTGGTTTCATTTGTTTTCCTAAATCTGCCACTCACACAGTTTGTTTTGGTTTTTTATCATTTTCAGATTTGAAAGCAGTCTTATTGACTCTTGTTTTCCTCTTTTTTTATGGCTTATGTAAGCTATTGTAAGTAAATATTCTGATGTTTCCTTTAAAAAAAACTTTAAGACACAATTCACATCTTATTTGAATTCTATTCTTTTCTAGAAAACAAAAACAAATCACAACAGAGAAACTACTCTCCTCCTAGATTGCAAAGCTTTACCTTAGAGTAAAAGTAAAATTGCTCTAGACCACGTCTCACCATTTCCTAAGACATATCTGACTGTAGCCTACAGTCCTCCTAACAAGCAGCTCCTTTACAGCTCTGATGGAACTGGGGGTGCGGTGATCTTCCTGAATGATTACTCCTTCAAAAACATGTCCGATCTTCACCTGAATGTTCAATTAGCATTGATAGCCACCATAGCATCTTGAATGTGCAAGACAATAGAAGCTCTCCTAATGAATGAAGACCTTATTAAATAGACAATCTTGAGATTCTCAGACTTGAGTGGAAGTAACACCATTCCATCCACTTCAGAAGTGGTAAGGACAGTGCCCCAGGTCCAGCTCTTTGTTGTGGTGGATCAGGAGCCTCATGCATGGGGGAAATTGAGAAAATAAAAATACAATAAAAGGAGGGAAAAGGAAAGAAAATTACTTCCACAGAACCTTCACCTCCCCAGTTCCCCGCTAAATTTACTTAAAATCACTACTATGGAAGAAACTCAGGTACAACCATGATTTCACAACTTATCATTTCTTTCATGATTAGTGACACTGAGGATCTTTTCATATGTCTATTGGCCATCTGTGTGTCCTCTTTGGAGAACTATCTATTTGGATCCTTTATCCATTTTTAA